GTCCTCGCCGACGGGCCTGGTCCTGCGTCTGGACATGGGCGTCGTCGGACCGGAGGGCGTCGGCATCCTTCTTCTCTTCGCTTCTTCATTTTATAAATTTCTTTCTTTGCCTAAAAATCGCTTCCATTAATGGCGCGTTACAGGTTTTGAATTACTTTCTAAAAATCTTCTTTTACCACTTACCTTATTTCAAATACCGTCTCTCTCTTCTCTTCCTCTCTCTCGCTCTCTCTCTTTCTCTTTTTCTGTCTCTGTCTCTCTCCTCTCTCTCTCTCTCTTCTCTCTCTCTCTCTCTCTTCTCTCTCTTCTCTCTCTCTCTCTCTCTCCTCTCTCTCTCTCTCTCTCTCTCTCTCTCTCTCTCTCTCTCTCTCTTCTCTCTCTCTCTCTCTCTCTCTTCTCTCTCTCTCTCTCTCTCTCTCTCTCTCTCTCTCTCTCTCTCTCTCTCTCTCTCTCTCTCTCTCTCTCTCTCTCTCTCTCTCCCTCTCTCTCTCTCCTCTCTCTCTCTCTCTCTCTCTCTCTCCCTCTCCCTCCTCTCCTCCCTCCCTCCCTCCTCCCTCCCCTCTCCCTCCCTCTCTCTCTCCAGCACATTCCCCGCGATAATTACGGACTGGAGGTGAGTCGACGTGTGTTTTCTCGCGAGCGGCGGCGCCAGCTGTGCTCCCGATTCCTTCTTCTCGTGCGCCGCCTCCGCTCAAGGTCGCGCCGCCGCCGTCCGCTGCCCTTGGCGACGAACCCGGGCGAAGGGAGGCGACGCCCCTGCAGGAGGCTCTCCTCACGACCCATTTTTTTCGGGCAGCGATAATATCAATGATAATATCAATGACAATAATATAATAATGATTTATACTACTTACTACTAATAGTACAAATACTGCTACTAATGGTAATGATAATAATAGTAATTATAATAATAATGATGATAATGATAACATCATAATAATAATAATAATGATAATAAGGATAATAATAATAGAAATGATAATAATGATGATGATAATGATTAGAATAATTATTATAATGATACTGGTAATGTTAATAATAATGAAGAAGTTAATGATAACAATAATGATAATAGTAACACTAATATTGTTGTTATCTCATTTTCATTATCATAATTTTCATTACCATTATCATTATTATTGTTATTATTATCATTATTATTGTTGTTATTGTTATCATTATTGTTATCATTATCATTATTACTGCTATTACTGTAACATGTCGAAGTCACATGAGGTGAGCTCTCTTCAGAAGCGAATTTCGACGTTCCATTAATTTCCCCAAAATATCCTAACAACATTAAAGCATCGAATAAAAACGATTTACGGATACGGAGAGTAATTATAGAAGCTTCGAACAAAACGAATCCGAACCGGGCAAGCAAATACAAAGGTCTGAAGGATTCGCGATTCGAACCGTCGTTTTGACCGCGATAGAAAGCGTGAGGTTTTCCCGCGCAAAAGTCAGCCAACCCGTCCATTACAGAAACGGTCATGTTCTTGAATATTGATGCATTTTGGGGCCAAATAGAAGCTTCGAACAAAACGAATCCGAACCGGGCAAGCAAGTACAAAGGTCTGAAGGATTCGCGATTCGAACCGCCGTGTTGACCGCGATAGAAAGCGTGAGGTTTTCCCGCGCAAAAGTCAGCCAACCCGTCCATTACAGAAACGAAGTCATGTTCTTGAATATTGATGCATTTTGGGGCCAAATTACAGCTTCGGGACGAATGTTTGCAACGAAGAGAAAACCAGAGAAAGTGCGGGCGTGGGCGGAAGGGGGAGGGGAGGGGGGGAGGAGGAAATAAGGAAATGGGCGTAGGAAACAGGTGTTGGTGCAGCGGAAGAGAGAAATGATGAGAAATGCTTCAACTGCAATAATTATGTTAGCAATAATGGTAGTGATGATAAAAGCCATTATAATTTTGGTTTAGCAGAGACATAGTAATAAGAGCAAGTGATAATAATGATGATAATAACAATAAAAATAAAAAAATATAGTAATAACATTAATGATTGTAATAATGATGGTAATAATAATAATAATAGTAATAATGATAATAATAATGATAATGATAATAATAATAGTAATAATAATAATAGTAATAATAATGATAATAATAATGATAATAAAATATAAATAATAATAATAATGTAATAATATTAATAAATGATAATGATAATGATAATACTAATATAAAATAATAATAACAAAGATAATATTAACAATAATAATGATGATAATAATAATGATAATGATAAGATCAATGATAAAGATGATAATGATAATACTAATACTTCTAGTAATGATGAAATAACAATGATAATCGTAGCAATGATTATGTTAACGATAATAAAAAGTAAATAATACTAATAATGATAATAATGATAATGATAATAATAAAGTAATAATATGATGATAATGATGAATAATAATGATAATAATTTTTGATAAAGTAGAAGCTAAGGAGAACAAAAATAATAATAACAACACTGATATTGTTGTTATCTCGTTTTCATTATCATTTTTATTACCATTATTATTATAATTATTATATTATTATCATTATTATTATTATTATTATTATTATTATTATTATTATTATTATTATTATTATTATTATTATTATTATTATTATTATTATTTATTATTATTATTTATTTATCATTATCATTATTTTTATTATCATTATCATTATTATTATTATTATTATTATTACAATCATTATCATATTATTATCATTATTATCATTATTATTATTAATTATTATCATCATCATATTATCATTATTATTATTATTATTATTATATTATTATTATTATATTATATCATTATCATCATATCATTATCATATTATTATTATTATTATTATCATTATTATTATCATTGTTATCATTATTATCATATCATTATTGGTGTTGCTGTTATCATTATTGTTATCATTATCATTATTACTAACATTACTGTTATTATTATTATCATTATTATAAATTTAATTATAATTTTCATTATCATTATTCTCATTATCAGGGTTATTATTATTAGTCTGTATTATCACTACTGTAAGTGAAGCTATCATTATTATTATTATTATTATTATTATTATTATTATTATTATTATTATTATTATTATTATTATTATTATTATTATTATTATTATTATTATTATTATCATTATTCATTATCATTTATTATTATCATTATCAATATTTTTTGTTCTCATCATTATCATCATCGTTATTAATATTATTATTCTCATTATCATTAATATCATCTTTATTATTACTGCAATTATTGATATTATTATTATCATTACTATTATTATTATCACGATAATCATTATCATTATCATCATCATTAATAAAATTACTATTATTATTTATTATATTTTTATTATTATTATTATTATTATTATTATTATTATTATTATATTATATTATTATTATTATTATTATTATTATTGTTATCATTATTATCATTTTCATCATTATCATAATTACAATTATCATTATCATTATTATCGTTATTATCATTGTTATTGCTATTATCATTATCATTACTATTTTATTACTTTATTATTATCAGTATTTATCATCGTTATTATTATTATTATTATCATTAAAATGGTTATTAAAATAATAATAATTATTATTACCATCATTATGATTATCCTTATCATTACTATCATTGTTCTTATTATTATTATCATTATTATTTCTATTATCATAGTCATGTTGTTGCCATTATTATTGATATTATCATTATTATCATTATCATCACTTTTACTGTTTTATTATTTCATTACTTTTCAACGTTTTTGTCGTTGTTATTACTATTATTATAGTAGTAGTAGTAGTATCACATTCATCATGATCATTGCTGTTGTTATTATTATTGTTATTATCAACATTTCTCCTGTCATTCTCATTAATATAAACAATGAAAAACTAAATTAAGAGAATAAAGATAATGATGACGATAATGGCATTCCTCATTGCAATAATGATGATGATGAAGCTGGTAATGGTAATAATAATAAAACAGTGGTTATGAGAATGACCATATAAATAATAAGAAAAACCGACAATTTATCAACGATATATGAAACTTCTCGGAGGAATATCTTCAGTCACGTCACTAATGATCTGGAAATGAGTCTCAACATCACTTGCTCTTGCTTAAAGTTGCCTCGAAGACGGGACCTTGCAACGAGCGAGTGAGTTGGTGCTTGCGTTTCGCTTGACAGATCTGACGTGCGTTCGGAAAAGTGTGCTTTCGCTACGAGTTCGTATCGGCATTTTGATTGCTTTTTTTTTTTATTAGTGTTATGCGTTGTTTCCAGGGTTGAGGGGAATCGGCAGATTTATGGCTGATTTGCGAAGGGGTTTTGATGGGGATGGCTTGATGTTGTGTCACGGATAAGGCACGGATTCGTGACGGCCTCTGACACACGCCGCGGTATCCCCCCCCCCTCTCTCTCTCTTCATCCTCCCGCTGAATAGAGGAAGAAGAGAGACGAGAAAATGAAAACAAATGTCTGCCAAGTTCGAAAAGGAAGGATTTTTGTGGTTTTTATTTCCATTTAAATCGATTTTGATGATAACGACATTCTGATAAATCGAGGGGTGGGAAGGGGGGGGTTGATTTAGTAACGACCTCTATTGTAAATATGAAAAAGAAAGGGAAAGAAAGGGAGGGAAGAGAGGAAGAGAAGCGAAGGAATAAAAACACCTAACCATGCTTCCTCCTCGTAACTTGTGCCTGATATGTTTTAGAGTGCCTGCCTGCCCCCTGACCTTGCCCCAACCTCTGGCCCCGAGACCCGGTTAACCAGGAAACTCATAGCTGCCGACACCATCAGACACACACGCACACACACATACACACACATACACACACACGTACACGCTCCCGCTCCTCTCGCCGCCGCGTCCGATACCGGCTTGAAGAAGGCGCGCGAGAACTCACTGTGGGTCATTCAACCACGCGCGGCTCCACAGTGCAGACGCGCGGCTTCGTCGGCACAGCGAGCGCTCAGACACAGTCCACCTGCTCCCTTCTGCGGGTCCTGCGCCGTGCTCCCCCTTAGGAACACCGTCAGTTCAACGGCCTCCGTCGGGAGATCGAACGCCGCCTTTAAACCTCTTCGAAGCGCGAAACAAAAGTGTTCAGACGATACTTGTGTTTGTTGGCTGTCTGGATGGTAAGAGTCCCTCTCGCTACATCCCGTTGCAAGCTGCAGTGCTAACCTCTCCTCAAGGAGCCTAAGGACTGGACGCATAGCTCGTCCTCTCCGCCTGCGACGCCGCCTACAGCAGTCGCCAGCGCAGCCACGACCCCAGGGCTTCCGAAG